TCCGATCACGGATAATCCCGACATCGTTGCTCACTTGGTTAGGCATTTCAAGCCAGCGGGATGCCCTCTCCCTTTGTTACGGAATATGACGGAGCATGATGCTTACGTGAAGATGGTGGTCACTCATGCTAAGGTTAGTTGGATCAGTTATTTAATTCTAGATATTTGTCTTCTTATTGTGTATAACTCGCTGTGTCTTCAGGCTATGGAAGCTAATAACGAATTTGCAGCGACTTTGGAGAAGCGTTTGCGGGATATTCCTTGGGCTGACAAGCTCTACAAAGCTAACAAGGTCGTTCGAGAGCTAAAGCTTAGTTAAAGATGGCCCAATACAGGGAGCGGGCCAACGTTGTTCAGATGAAGGCAGCTGAGAAGTTGGGAAATCAAGCTGCTTCTCTCGATGCTCGTCTTCGGGTCGTTGGAAATGAAAGGAAGTCGGCCCTGGAGCAGGACTCTGCGTTGGAAATGCAGATAAAATCTTTAACTGCGAAGCATGCGAATGAGCTTTGTCGTGCGACTTATAATGCTAAGAAGGCTCTGGCTGACGGCTATCTGGACGTGTTAATGTCTTTGATGAAGAAATGGGAGAAGAAGAAGGCTGCAGCAGACTGCAAGATTCGTCTGAAGGAAGTTATTGCTAACATCAAGCTTATCAAAGAGATAATGAATAACAATCTTCTTGCTTCCGACAAACTGACACGCCTTCGGGCTAAGTAGGTCGAGCTAGGGGCCGAGCTTGATGCAGCGGCAGTATTGGGTTTCTCGGTCAGAAAGTTGGACCTTCTCCTGATTTCGGAGGATTTACCTGAGGAGTTCTTTTCCAAGGTCCCTCCTGGTGGAGATGAATCTGGTGGCGAGCAGAGGCGTAATGGGGATCTTTATGAAGATGGCGAGTTCGATATTGACGATTAGTTTTTGTTATTCCTCTAGTTTTATTTTTATGGGTTTTATCTTTGATGTTCTTTTTTTTTTAGAAAATTAATAAAGAATCGCGAGCTTTTCGGTTTGTTTATGCGATATTGGTTAAGGCACAATTGCGACCATTTCTGTTTCGGGGTCGTAGATCGATTTCGATAAATACCGTGTTGATGGGTTGTGTTTGGGTAGTAATAATTTTACTATCGTGATGCGCCGTGTTTTGGCGGGATCCTAACTATTTCTGAAGACTTGATCAGGGTCTATTCATGCAGTTAAATCGAGTTATGGGAATGAAAATTTATTTTTGTTTGTTATTACGTGATTCTTTGTATACAACTTCGCATTTTATATGAAAGAAGAAGACCATATCGATGCGGATGGGTTGCTTCTAGCCCGGAGTTGATCCCTTTGTTAGGGGAGTTAGTTTGTGATGAGTGACTGAAATCAGGTCGTGAGAGGCCTATGTACCCTCATCGAGGGATCAAGTCTAAACGTAGTTTGATTATTTCCCCGGTAAGCAGGGTCGTGTCTTTCGGTTTGCTCGTGTACGTGTGTACGGTTGTTGGTTCTCTTGAGATCCTTTGGCCGATCTTATGTATGTGGCTCGATGACTTTGAAGCTTGCGAGGTAGCAGGTTTTGGAATTCTTCCGGCTTCCCCTTATAGTTTCAATTCTTTTTTGGCGTAGGGATTTTCAGGCATTGGTGATAGGTTGATGTTACTGCCTTCATGCTATATAGTCATGGTCCTCTGAGGATGGCGTTAAACGGGGCAGGTCGATCTCTGACGACAAATTCAACGATCTTTCTTATGTCTCCGGCAGTTACAGCGAGTTCAATGGATTCAAGGGAGTATGTGGTCTCTCCTGCGAATCCGTTAGTGCGGTCCTCTCCTGCTTGAGGAGGGTTTTGGTGAATCCCATCCTTTTGAATCCCATCCTTGTGAATCTCATCCTTTTAAAAGAGTACATCCATAGAGCTTCTGGTGTCGATCAAGATCTGGGATAGCTCGCATCCTCTAACATCGAGTCATATAACGAGTGCGTCGTCGTGTGGCTTGCCAAGGTCAGCGGTTCGTTCTAGTCAAAAGTGATATCATGATCGGGGCCTGATAGAGGTGTTCACGTACGCTGGTGCTACTTTATGCTCTTCATTGGTGCGCTTTGATGGAGTTGACTAAGTTGCAGAATTTTGATCCTCCGTAAATGAAGTCAATTCTTTTTCCCTTTTCCTGGCGCAGTTAGGAAAGTACCACTTTTGGTTAGAATCGGCTGGTAGTGTCCTTGCCCCCATTGGTTTGAGTAAACGCAGACTGTGTCTCTTCTTATGTATCGGTTTTTCCAGAAACTGTTGGATCTTGCTGAATTTGTTGTCCCGTCCTTGTCCGAAGTGGTATTCGGTTGGTCGGTTGAAAGGGGGAGAACGAATCCCGTCAAAATTTCCTGAATCTCGGATTGTCACCATGACATTGACGTTTATTTGTCGTGTGGCTTGATCTATGGGCTTCTTATGTTCAGATCCCCATAGGATCATATCAACTCTTTTCTTTGTAGCTAGAGGTGGCGATTCTGGCGATTCGGGCTCGGCTTCTTTGTTCCTCTTGTCATTTACTTTAACTTTTGTGGTCGGTCGCGCTTCTTCCTCTTCCGTATTCTTGCCGTTCTCTTTGTTTTTTTTCTTTGTTGCGGAGTACTGCATGACATTCCTCGATGGAGTGCCCCTTACGTTTGTGAGAGGCACAATATTTGTTTGGATCGTATGTCGATTATTTATTCCGTGATAACGAATCTATTGCATAAGAGTTATATCCCTTAATAGTCTATTCTTTCGGGATGCTTGGCTTTTTAGGCGTCCCATTTTTGCTCGCGTTATACTGCTCTTTCAGACAGCGACCTCTTCTTCGTGGTCGCGAAATAAGAAGTGCGGTACAACGCGTCGTCTAACGAGGCGGGAGCTTGGACCGTCATTTCTTCCCTAAACTTGGAAGAGAACTAGGCACCATTTTTCAGGGCTGCCAGGGCGACTACTTTGTTTAGGTTTGATATTTTGATTTGAATTCCTTGAACTTGTTTATATAGGCTCTTAGTGGTTCAAAAGGTGTTTGCTTGAGGTTCCACAGGTCGGTCTCTGTGGCTCGTGCTTCTGTGAACACCGAATATTGCTTTAAGAATGCTGACATGAGCTGGGTGAAATCATCAATAGAGTTTCCCTCTAGTCCAGCGAACCACTCCAAGACGGGTCCTGTGAGATTTTCAGCAAAGAATCAGCAGTAGCCCGCTTCTCTCTCTTCGTCATTGAGATGTGCCCTTGATACGGCTAACCGGAAGGCTCACACATGAGCTTTCGGATCAGTTACTTGAATATTCAGGGAATTTAATCTTTCGGACCTCGTGTAGCCTTACACTGATCATTCGACTTGTGAATGGGGTCATGCGAGTTTCCTCGATAACTTGATCGATGTCGGGGGTCGAGCTCGTTGCTATATGCACAATGGCATGTATCCTTTTAAGTTTGGCATCATTTCTTTCAACGTAATTTCTGAATGCTCCTGCTTGGCTCATGTATCTTTGATCTTCCCCTCGTGGATTTTTGTGCAAGGATCTAAAAGGGTCATATCCTTGGGTGGGACCCAGCGGCCGTAAATCCGGTTCGTTGAAGTATATCCATCCCAAGGGGAAAATGATCTTCACGAGTTCAATGTTGTGGTGGAGAAGTTTGAATTTTGGGCTCCTTGCGCCCTCCGGGGGGCCTGCTTTGAGTTCGAATTGACGTGGATTTGAAACCTTGCATTTCGTTCTCAATCTCTTCATGATCGTTGTAATCTAGGCTTCGGTAGATCTTTCCCTCTTGTGGAGTTCTCGCGAATTCCCCCCCCCCCCCCCCCCCC